TTGTAAAACTCTTTTTCATTTTCGAAACTGATTTCCTAACATTAAATGGAGTAGGCTATGTTATTTTTATATTTGATTAGTGTTATAGATAAAAAATTGGGACAATCTTGATATAAAATTGAAAACTAAAGGCAGATAATTTGTTTTCTGATGATAATTGCTGCTATGGTTAATTAGAGATATGACTCAATTCTTATTTATATGCCATTTCAGCTTTCAGCCATGAATCTCTTTATACCTTTTACAACTAAAGAGCTGTTAGAAAGCTCCTCCCTATGTAAATACTTGTAGGCTGCAATCAAGTTTCAACTCATCTTTCCCTTAGATTAAGAAAGGGAGCTTTTAAGCCTGTTTTCCAGACATATAATCATTCTCATAGCTCTTTCCAGACCTTTTCCTGTTTTTCAAAGTGTTTCTTTGAAGCTTAGTACCAAAATTGGCCACAGTAGTATATGAACAGTTGTTGCTAGCAATACTGCTATCAGTACTCTGCATCAGTGTCCAAGGAGAATTTTTGAATGCTTATCTTCCTTTTTTTTTTTTTAATGTCTTTTCCTTTACAATCTCTGGTATGGTTTGTGGGTCTAGTTCTGGCCTTGGCAAAATACAAACTTTTAAATGAGCCATCTGGAAAAAAATGATTTGTCCTTTGCATTCTGGTGGTCTTCATTTCAGTTGCAAATGTTAAAAAGTTGTGCTTTCCTGTTTTATTTGAGATCACTGTTCAAGACAAATACCAACTCTAGATTCTGTGAGACTCCATTCAAAACCACCTTCCTTGCCTTTCTAATTTGCATTCCTTTTTCTGTTTTGAGATCCACTACTTCCATAATCACTTCACTTACTACTCTTTTAAGCTGCTATTTTTCTAATTGTGCTGGTACATGATCTATAGAAGAAAACCGATTCATATCATCGTTTTTAAACCTGGTTCAAGAACTTGGTTGAAGAAACAAAATATTCTGTCAACTACTAAAATATTTGATTATACTGTTGTCATATTTTTCTAAAATCCACAGCACATTTGAGGTTTATGCATGCAGTTTCTGAAATAGCAACTATTTTAAGATTATTTGTTTATTTGAATTCTCAGACTTACAATGTATGATTTTTCTCATGGTTGGCAACTTCCAAAATCGATTTCCATGTAATATATATTTTTTAAAAATTGCATCAGTTGGTTAGCATGTTTCGTAGACTTAGTTTACATTAAGTTGAACTCTCTTCAGAACATTCTGTAATGTGAAAAGTCAAGTGCGTTCACACTGCTGTCATTTTTTCACTTAGTACAATCCAAATTAAAGCATTTTTATTATAGCAAAAATGTTATTTGCCAAGGTTGGCCACTGTTCTATTTAAAACCCTTGCAATTTGTGAAAATTTGCTTGGTAATTAAAACCTAAATCTCTTACGCCTTAAATTAAATAAATAAAGGTTAATATCTTAGACCTTGTATCTATGGCAGAAGGAGGAATTTTGCTTGAAGTATGCGCCATTGAAAAGTCTACCATTACCTTTTTCAAAGTTAACAACGTTAGAGAAGTTAGGAAACTGAAAATAGGGTGAAAGCCGAAATAAGGATATAGTAGGCTGTTAAAATCCACTATCTGTGCCCCCTGTTTCCATATGGGAGGAAATGAAAAAACTGTTTGGACAGGAAAGAGGTCTTTGATTGGAATGCCTAAAATGAGTATTAAATTTATCTAAAATGACCAATTGGTGCAAACTGTTCACAAGAAGTAAGTCTGATTTCTTCATTATTCTTTATACATCCTCTACTGTTATGCATTCTGTTGTATATCTCATCTACATAATGAGATACCTTGTATTTGGAAACTATATAGTTATTTTTTTTAATCCTGAAGATTCTCTATAGGGCTGTAAGTAATTATTTAAAAATTCACGAACTTAATATGATTTCTTAAAACAGTGGAATAGTAGTTACCCATTCTTGCTTAGAATTCTTTTCGGCTGCTAGCCAGTTTATTCAAGTTAGGAAATATGTCATAAATCTCATTAAAGCTCCTCTTTTCTCTCACTTGCATAAGGGCATGTTTTCCCTTCTGTGTGCATACTAAATAACTGTTAAGAGTAAAGGAAGTCCTTATGTTTTAACTACAGCTTCGAGCTTTAGATATCAGCTTTAGAATTATTTATTTGTGCCACATTTGTGACAAGAATGTCAATCTAATGCAAAAAATAGGGTATTATTGCTAAGAAAAGGGAGGAAAAGAGCTAAGGCAAATAACCTCAGCACTTCCTTTAGGGCTTTTTAATGTGCTCTATTGCTCTGCTGGTACAATCTAATACTTTGGAAGTTTTAATATCCTCTTTTGCATAGTTTCAGCATGCCAATTGAATCCAATGAATAATAGACTATGAACTAGTGTGTTTTGTATCAGTAAAGTGCGTTTAATAGTAGTGACGGGGTAGAGGTAGGCATAAGTATATAGATGTATTTATGTGTGTATATGTGTATTTATATATATGAATGTATATACATGCACACACGCACCGACACACATATAGGCATAATATGATATATTTAAGTTATTTGTAGGAGTTAGAGAAGAATTTATGTGCAAGTAGGTCTAGCCTGAGCTGTAAATCTTTACTAAGTAACCTAGTCTTATAGGTATGTAATGCTTCTTCATAATTGAAAATTAATGAAGGTATTACATTTTTTTTCATTCTAAAAAAGGAACTGGCACTATAGCATTTCCTTCTTGCCTCAACTCTGAGGTGCATAGTTTGACCACAGGTGGAGTCAACCAAGAAGGGAAAACAAAACAAACAAAACAAACAGCTCAATATATGAGAAGGAAAGTATTACAGAAGCAGAAAAAGAAAGGACATTAGTACCTTTAAAATGTCAGATGTCCACCTCTTAAATTTGAAAGCATGCCTTCTCTTTTTGACTTGTAACACTGGTTGGTATTTATGGTAGTTGTTTGTGTGTACATGGGAGATGGGTCTGTGTCCTTGCATTGTCTCTACGCATGTTCTCTTGCTTCACCACAAGTACCATATTTCTAATTGTTCTGTCATGTTGCTTAACAATACAATAAGTCCCTTGTGTGACAGCACAAAACAAAGACTCGGGTTACAACCCAGTGCATTAATGCAATTCACTGCAGGTCTGAAAAAAAATAAAAGAACTTCCTTCTGCATCTGATTATAGTTTCTTGTTTACCCCTTTTGGCTCCAACACTAAGGCTCATCTAAGTGGATTCCCAGCATTTCTTTATCATTTTATTCTGAGGATTAGTTCCTAGTGTTGTTGTTCTGCTTTTCTGCTTGGTAATTGTCTGGCCGTGGAGACTGCAGACTCAAAAGCGCTAACGCTATGTCTCTGGCTGTGTGGCCTTTAACAAGTGTCAAAAATTTGCCAGCCTCTGGAGATTGCTTCTGGGCCTAAGTCACTATGTGGGAATAGTCTGTGGGAAACAAACAGAAAACAAAAGGCCCTTGGAGTAGTTGCGTTTTGAAAAAATGGTAAGTGTGGCAGGCCTCCTTAAGCACCAAACAGTTCTTACAGATGCAGGCAAACGTTTAGTTACCAAATGTTAACACCCATGTTGAGAATTTTTAGAAAGAAAGCTGGCTTTGATTATTTGGTACTGTTCCATAAAAAAGGCAAAAATTGTGAAGGAAAAGTGAGATGCAATCCTAATTTGTACTGCTTAACTGACTTCTAACTCCAGTGTTTCTTCTGCAGCTCTAATTACCTGATTGAATCTTAGTCCTGTCTTAATAGGTTAAAAAAGCTTAATAAAGGGTTAGGTCACTACAGTATCCTCTGTTTACATTATTTGGAGCATTCTAGATAGGAAAATAAAGGAGCCTTATTCGTGGAAAAATACATAATAAGTAATTCAACATTGGAATCAGAGAATCCCTATATAGAGCAATTCTTTGTAGGATAGATATTAGTTATCTATTAGTTTCAGATATTAGTAAACTTACACATATCTATACACACATACCTATACATATGTATCTAGCTGGATTCCACAAATGGAATAGAAAGATGTGGTGTCTCTGGCCCATATGCCAAATTAAAAATAGAGAGCCTTATTTCTTGGTGCAACAAAAGAGCAAGAGCTTCTTTGTTTGATTCTTCACCTGAATAAAATTCAGGTGAATAATATTTTCCTTAGATGCAGTGCATTTTTTTTTGTTCTATGCATATCATCAGCCCTATCCTTTGTTTTAAATTAACATGTTAACATGAGTTTTAAAATAAGCATTCCATTAAAAGATGCTTTTCCAGTATTCTTTGATAGCTTTCTCATTAGCCTCTGAAGACCGATTCAATAGATATGAAATCAAAATGGATCATAAGCAGATGTTGTTCAACATAGGGATAAAATGTTTATTCTGATTGATGTAGTTAAACCATCTTATAGAGCCATGATGGACTAAAAACTGGGCCTTTGGCAAATGAGCTGATTCGTAAATTTTCTGCTACAGTAGGGTGGATGCCTTCACAGAAATGCACATGTTTATACCATGTTTCCTTCTAGTCCTTTTTACCATTTTTCTTATAAGGACAAAAAATGCCTGTAATCTGTATAGAGCAAAGATTGTCATTGTTGCTTCTGAATCTGACGTTAAGCATTGCAGATGCTTTTGTTTCAAATGAGAGAAAGACTAACTTCTGCAAGGTTCTGAGGATTAACTGTAGACTTACTACATTTAAAGAGAATGGAGTAGGGAAAAGCAGGACTTACGTACAATTCATCTTAAATATATAGTATATGTTTTGTCACCTGACTACTCATAAATGTTTTCTGAGGTTAAACTGATTAAGTTAAATTAAGTAATTAAGTAAATTAAGCAATCCTGGCTTTTGCTTCCCCATGATCTTTGCAGAGATAATGGAGTTCTGTAGTTATTCACTGAGCCATACAAAATATTTGGAAATAGGTCACAGAGTCACTACCAATATGATCATTTGGCTTGCTTAACATTTTTCTTTTTCCCTTTCTCAATTCTAGGAAGGATTTCTGTGTTCATAAAGATGAACCATGTGATACTGTTGGTAAGTAAATCTTTGTAAGAGAGTGTTTATATAGACAGCTTCCTAAAATGACTGTTAAAATATGTGAAGCTAAAGGAATGCAACAGCATCTGTGTTGAATATTTTTAACTAGCTAAAATGCAAAAGTTGTCTAAAATCCACCACTTTGTTATATTTGTTATATTCATATACACTGCTAACAAAAGAGTGTGTGAGAGTGCTCATTTTTTAACAAACTCTTTAAAGCTTTATTCTTTTAAATCTCACTGAAACTTTAATACTGGACGATTTTAACGCTCTAAATATTAAACAAGGATCGCAAGCTAAGTGAGGATGTTCATTATGTATTTAGCATGCAGTGGATTTATCTTTTGGTCAGATTTTGCCTATGATTTTGTTAAAAATCCTCAGATTACACTGTAATGCAGTGGAGTAATACAGATTTTATTAACTATGTAACTTTTCAGACTAATCAGTATGTGAACTGTTATGAGAGGTACTTCTGGCAACCACAATTTAGTGAGTGCTAGTTTCACAGGGTTTATCTACGGATTGTCGTTAATTTAGTTCACACTCTTTTCAATATAAGGTCCAGGGTGAGAGGCAGAGTTGCCATGTTGAGCATGAAGGATTCAAACTTATTTCTGGTCAGAGTTGGTAAAACTTTTATTCATTCAATGTCCTGGCGTGTTTTTGTACCCTCAAATTTCGTTTGACTGATGGCAACTTGTGGCAGTTCTTTAAGTACAAGTTTTCAGAAACCAGTTTCAGCAAGATTAGGACATCAATCATGGATTGCCTAACTATTGTAGTCCATAGACAGAGATTTTTTTTCCTCTTTTTTTTTTCTTTTCACTTGTTTGATATCAGCAGCAAAGATTTGAGAAGGATTTTGATATGAACTGCATTACCTTATCTTTTTCCTAGTCTTCTTAACTGCTTCAGCATCCCAAGACTATGTGAGCATTTCCAAGGAAGAATTCAAAACAAAGTCTTTTTAAATGAAGAATATTTCTAAGTAGAAGGTTTTTCACAGCAGTCAGTGATTCAAAATGAAGACAATTTTTCCACTAATTGATGCCTTGTTCTTAGATGAATTTTGTATATGTGTTCACATGTTGTCTTCTGATGGGAAAAATCTCATAAAGCATTTTCACCTGCTGGGGAAAAGGGGAAGTGATCTGAGAAGAAAAGCCTTGACAATCTGAGCAGTGTTTAAGTTGAAGATCGGAACAGGCGAAATATAAATCAGGATATATCCATGCTGACCTTAGAATGGGAAATAATAAATTGTTGCATAAAGGATGTAGATTGTCTGGATTTTGAAGTCTCTCAAAGCAGTGATTCTTGTGAATTATTTGATTCAAAGAGATCAGAGCCATCAGGGTGTTGGGTCAGGATTCAATAATGGATTTATTAGAATAGGCTGGTATCTGAATTTCATAGATTAAGTGAATGAATTCAAAGGATTTGAATTGAAGTTGAACCTTGGAGAGAACAGAATGACTATTCACTGCCAAATTTGTCCCTGGAGTGCAGTAAATGAGGTAAGAAGATGAACCAGCTGAAGTATCAATCAATCACATTCTGTGATGAGGAAGTTTGGATGTAACATAAGACTAAGGCAGTATATTGGTCATGAGTATGCAGAAGACTATGGGTTTGTAGTATTTATACAACAATGAGCAGACTATGTGTCTGGATAGTTTGGGATTTTTGTGGAGTGACTTCCTCACAATGGATATAATTGGTTAGTGTTTTCTTAAGGACTAGAAAGATACTTCCAAGTATCTTTGTGTAGTTCTGCCCACATGACTTGAATTGTGAGGCAAAATCCAAGATCATTTGTTTCCATTGTTACAATAGATACTACATGAATATAATTTTTAGTTTTCCATGTGATTGGATGAAAATACAGTTTTGAAATATATGCTTTCAGGAGGGACAGCTTTGACCTCTTCAGAGACCCACTTGGAAGGATCCCATGGGCTAGGGCTCTAAAAGGAAGAGGGACCCAAGAGAGCTGGTTAATATTCAGGGAGCACTTCAGGATGCACTCAGGAGCAGTGCATCCCTTTGAATAAGAAGTCAGGCGGGGGGGCAGGAAGCCTGCATGGATGAGCAAGAAGCTGCTGGCAAAACTCAAACAGAAGACGGCATTATACGGAAAGTGGAAAAAAGACAGGCTCCTTGGGAGGAATATAGGAATGTTGTCAGGGAATGCAGGGATGTGACAAGGAAAGCTAAGGCACAATTGGAATTAAATCTGGCAAGGGATGTTAAATATGACAAGAAGAGCTTTTTCAAATATATTGACGTCAAAAGGAAGATTAGGGAAGACAAGGTTCTGCTGGTGAATGGGGTGGATGCCCTGGTTACGAAAGACACAGAAAAAGCAGAGTTACTGAATGCTTTCTTCGCTGCAGTGTTTACCAAGGGCAGCTCTCTGGAATCCCAGACCCTAGAAACCGGAGAAGGTGCATGGAGAGAGGAAGACGTGCCCTGGCTAGAGGAAGATGGGGTCAGAGAGCACTTAGGGAAACCTGACACCCACAAATTGATGGCCCCGGATGGGATGCACCCCAGAGTGCTGCGTGAGCTGGCGGATGTTATTGCTCAGCTGCTCTCCATCATCTTCAAAAGGTCCTGGAGAATGGGGGAGGTGCCAGAAGACTGGAAGGCCAATGTCACCTGGGTCTTCAAAAATGGCATGGAGAACCCAAGCAACTAGAGGCCAGTCAGCCTCACCTCCATCCCTGGAAAAGTGATGGAACAGCTCATCCTGGCTGTTGTCTCCAAATATGTGGAGGACAAGAAGGTGCTCAGGAGTAGTCAGAATGGACTCACCAAGAGGATATCATGCTTAACTAATCTGATAGCCTTCTATGATGGAATGACCAGCTGGACAGATGAGGGGAGAGCGGTGGATGTCATCTATCTGGGCTTCAGCAAGGCTTTTGACACTGTCCCTCACAGCATCCTCCTGGGCAAGTTCCAGAAGTGTGGGATAGATGAGTGGACAGTGAGGTGGTTTAAGAGCTGGCTGGATGGCAGAGCTCAAAGAGTTGTGATGAGCGGTGCAGAGTCTAATTGGAGGCATGTAGTTAGCAGTGTCCCCCAGGGGTCAGTCGTCCATCTGATCTATTCATCAATGGCCAGGATGAAGGCACAGAGTGCTCCCTCAGCAAGTTTGCTGATGATATGAAACTGGGAGGAGTAGCTGATACCCCAGAGAGCTGTGCTGCCATCCAGAGGGACCTGGACAGACTGGACAACTGGGCAGTGAAAAACCTCATGAAATTCAACAAGGCCAAGTGTAAGGTCCCGCACCTGGGGAGGAATAACCACAGACAGGCTGGAGACTGACCTTCTGGAGGGCAGCTCTGCAGAGAAGGGCTTGGGTGTCATGGTAGACGACAAGTTGACCATGAGACAGCAGTGTGCCCTCGTGGCCAAGAAGGCCAATGGGATCCTTGGGTGCATTAA